CTACGAACCTTCTCTAAGCGCCTGGCAATCTCGACCACCTGGTCAAACCTAGCATCCGTCTCGGCCTCTCGAGCCATACTATAACGTAAACCATAGTTGAGGCCATCAATGAACCTTCTGATCCTCTCTCTCACTGGGAACCAACCATATAGCATGAATGGCCAAATCCGCGAATCTCATCTCATACTGAGTGACAGTCATATCCCTCTTGCGTAGCAGCTTAAAATCTCTATGCAGCTCCTCTCTGCGAGTTTGTGGAACAAACTTCTCTAAAAAGAGAACTAAGGACTTATGCTATGAAAGTGGTGCTGCGGCAACTAGCCTGCTCAACTCATAATCCTGCTGCCATTTGTAGGCTGCCTCAGTCAGCTGAAAAGTAGTAAATGCAACTCCACTAGTCTCCAAAATACCCTATGTACGAAAAATCCGCTGACACTAGTCTAGAAAATCCTGAGCATCCTCTAACTCCTCTCCGCTGAACTCTGGAGGCTTAAGCCTCTCAAACCGCTCCAACGTCTTCTTCTCCTCATCATTCATAGGTGGACCAATCTCGATTCGAGCGGCAGCGGTCGAGTGAATTGGTAGTACCCCTATGTCTGATGGCCCGGAGCTAGTTGCTCTGGAGTACGGGCGGCGGGAGTCTAGGCATCTCCCCCAGCCTGTGAGGTAGCTGGTGCAACTGGAATCGAAACCGCATGAGCCAGACTCGTGCACACAGTCAAAATTTGCGCCAAGGCCTCCTGAAAGCCACAAATAACAATGGGCACTGGTGGTGCCGGAGCTGGTCCCATCGGCTCAACTGTATTTGGAACATGATCCACAGTTGGAGCAACTAGTGGCTCCACAGGTGTTGTTGGGGCTGTAGGGAGAGCCACACCTCAGCCTCTCCCACTCACGACCCTAACTAGTGGTATTGGTGGCCATCTGCCTTATCCGGTCGCACGTGTTCTCACCATCTGTGAAAGAATAGAAGAGTCAAGGTTCAAACTTCGGAAATAACAAATTCACACAACAAGAATGTAAGAAAGTAAAGTTTCTTAATAGTTTGGTAGCCTCTCGAAGATAAGTACAGACGTCTTTGTACCAATACGCAAGACTCTACTAAACCTGCTCATGACTTGTGAGACCTAAGCAACCTAGGGCTCTGATACTAACTTGTCACGATCCCAAATCCACTCATCATGATGGCACCTAAACCAACCCCCTAGGTAAGCCAACAGTCACAAAAATAACAATGTAATCGAATAACATGGTTTAATAACTCAACAGCGGAAAAATATCACGCAATATCTGAGAATATAACCATAATACTGCTAAGACCATCCTAAAATCTAGTGTCAAAGAGTACACGAGCACTACTGAATAACAAGATACAAGCAAAATCCTTTAATACAACTGTCTGAACAATAGAACAGTAAAGATAGAAATAATTGAAAGAGAATTTCAAAGACTGCGGACGACATAGCAGCTACCTCGTAGTCTCCCAAATGCTAATAGCAACTCAACTCTGGAAATCGCCTCGACCGGTTGTACCTGGATCTGCACACGAAGTGCATAGTGTTGTATGAGTATAACCGACCCCATGTACTCAATAAGTAACAACACTAACCTTGAGGCGAAAGCAGTGACGAGCTTAGAAACAATAGTCAGATGCCTATATCAATAACTAGTAACAGTTTAGAATATAAAGGGAAACAATAGAAACATGTAGCTCAATGATACTATGTTCAGCTTGTTCACATTTCAGATATTTAGGTATGCTTTCAAGTATAACAGTTAAGTCTAACACAGATAAAGCATTTCATTTATCAGTTAGCATGAGAAAAGTACATCTCTATGCCTACATGTTAAGTATACATGTCAAATCAACAATATCACAATGGATCCATTAAGAATATTCACACTTAGCACTATACGGGTACCTGGCATAACTGTCCATCATCAAGCACGTATATAAAATATTGAGTCTGCGCCCGCTGCTGGTATGCCAGACTCCAGAGGGGTAGATCCTGCCCAAGCGCTAATCATAATCATATAGCCCAATAGTGAGGCCTGGTACACACGTCACCCCAAAACAATAACACTTAGCCTAATATGGTCTTGGAGTACGCATCACCTCAAAATCAATACCAAATCGGCTCTATGGCCCAAACTCAGTCATTTACCATTAAAGTCTCAGATAACACATCTCACGGTACTCAGTTTAATAGTGTTACACATAGGAGGCATCACAACATGTGAGGAATCAAATAAGAAGTACTGAGACAGAGATATCATACATGGATATAGCATCATGACTGAGAATATGTGTACAAATAAGGCAAATAGCTTAGAATTGGCAAGAATAGTCGTATCAAGTCTCAAACAAATAACGCATAGCCTAGACATGATGTCTAATATGAATCAAAGTTCAAATGACTGAACAAGCAACACGCAGATAAGTCCCACCTTATAAGCCGCATGCACATTAACCCCAAACCTTATACCACCGCATGCGCGTCAATAACATATCACAATAACAATTCGTACCACAAGTGCCCATATATCATAACTTGCCAACAACAACAACAATATCAATATTTTTACAACAATAACCCATGGCTCCACCATGATGTATACAAGAATATCAACAACAACAATGAATGTAAAGTGCTCAATAAAATAGAAGTCTCAACAAAAACCAACTTCGTCTCAACGTGTTAACGACTTTCACAATTTCAACACCAAAAAACTCAACAATGAGAGAAATAATGTATAACCATGATATTAGATAATACTAACTCACAATAAAATAGATAACATTTAACAATGAGCTTGAAATAATGGAAATCAACAAGGAAAGGGATAACATGAGCAATTAGTTCAAGTAACGATAATCTGTAAGGAAGGAGATAACACGAACAATAACTTCAAATAATGATAATTAACCATGAAGAGATAGCATGTAACAATAAAAGAGGCAACAAGTTCAACTAAAGCATGTGAGCAATTTAACAAGTAGGATGTAGAACAAATACTAAACAAGTCAATTAAGGCATAAAAGGATAGACTAACACAATTAAGGATAAATTGACTATGAGAATCTAGAACATGATATGGCATTTCAATTAAAGCATGGAAATAGTCTATGCAATATAAACCAGTCAAATACTATGTACAACCCGTGTGACCACTCGTCACCTTGCGTACACAGTTTTTACAAAGCACAAAAGACACAATAAAAACCAATTCCTAAGTGGTAGTCCCCCCATATGAAGTTAGGCAAGACACTTATCTCGACTAGGCCAACTCAACCCTCGAAAATCGCTTTTCCCTTAAAACTCGCCTCCACACACCTCAAATCTGCCCAAAAGTAACTCAATATCATCAACCAATGCAAAAGAAAATAATTACAATAAATAAAGCTTTAATCTTTACACGTTTTTTAAAAGGTCAACAGAAGTCAACTCGGGGTCCACCGGGTCAAAACCCGGGTCCAATGGTAGATTCTGTCTACCCATGACCCCACGAGTTCATATATGTGATTAGTTTCAAAATTCGAGTCCAAATCAACTCTCAAAACTCAATTTCTTATTTTTCAAAAAACTTGACAAAGTTTCACAAATTTTCACTTCGATTCACATGATTTAGATGTTAAAACCCAAGATATGTTGATGGAATATGATTAGAAATAGATTAAAATTACTTACCCAATATTTGTAGGCAAAACTCCCCTCTGAAAATCGTCTACTACCGAGTCTAGGGTTCAAAAATGAGAGAATGAGTGATAAAATCCCGATATTCAGACCTTATGTTCAGTTGCAGTTATCGCAATTGCGAACCCTCGCAATTGCGACTAAAATCTCGCAATTGCGGCACGGAAGGTCTGGGAAGCTATTCGCAAATGCGAAGATGGATTCGCAATTGCGAACCATGTTGCCCTCGCAATTGCGACAAAAACATCGCAAATGCGAACCTAGCCCAACCCAGACTTTCTTCGCAAATGCGACCAAGGCATCGCATTTGCGATACCTATAGGATCCCTGCTATAGTTGCAATTACGACCCTGGTGTTCGCAATTGCGACACCAGAGGGCACCAGACACCAGTGTTTGCAGAATTCAGTCTAACACATTTCAGAACGTGTCCGAAACTCATTCGAGCCCTCGGGGCTCCAAACCAAACATCCATACAAGTCTAAAAATACCATAAGAACTCGCTCGCGCGATCAAAATACAAAAATAACATCTAAAACTACGAATTGAACTCTAAAATGCATGAAATTCAAGAAAATTTTCAAGAACTTTTAGAATTACAACTAAACGTACGAATCATATCAAATCAACTCCAAACGACACCAAAGTTCGCAGACACGTTCTAAATATCATAACGGACTTATTCTAAGTCCCAAAATCAAATTCCCAGCTCGATAGCTAAAAGTCAACCTACGATCAAACTTTTCAATTTTAAATTGTCAAATTTCAGAACCTACGGACTTTCAAAATCAATTCCGGGCATACGCCGAAATCCAAAATCACGATACGAACCTATTGGAGTCATAAAACACAGTTCCGAGGTCGTTTACACAAAAGTCAAAGTTTAGTGAACATTTTTAATTTTAGACTTCTAAGTCAAGATTCAAGGGCCCGAAACAACCCGAAAGCTCCCCGGAATGAAGACCCAGGAAGTCATAAAATCATAAACACACATGTGAGAGGAGAGGCGGTAGAGGACCAGGAAGAGGAGAGGAGAGAGATAGAGAAAGAGAAATTGAAGGCACTAATCAAAGTTTTAGAGCTTTTAAAGCAGGAATGAGTATAAATTATAAAAAAATATATTTAATTTTGATAATTAGCAAAACATAATTAAAGTGGGTAATTAAGTTTGTATTATTGTATATATAGGAAAAAATGGCCCAAACAATTATCAGTCGAACAAAGTCCAATTACAAAAGAGACAAATACACTGGCACAGCCCAATGTACTCTGGGCTCTCTTTTTATTGTTTTTTATTTCCTTTCTCCCCTGAATAAAGCGTGCTTGATTTCCTTAAGAAGTCGTTAAACCGATTCCAATTTATCAAACTTTTTCCGATGGCCGTTTTCAGTCCGAGCTATTCCTCAACTTCCCCACTCCTCTCCTTCAAATCCTCGCCGTCAAATTCGCCGTTACCCAACGTCTCTTTGTTTCCTTCAAATCGCCGTAGTTTTTCCCGAATTCGGTCCACTCTCAGATTGAAAGCCGCTCTCAGTGTCGAGTCTCCGTCGTCTTCCGCCACCAACCGCGGGGATGACTCGCCGAAGATTTTGCTTGAAGTGAAGAACCTCTCTGCCGTCATAAGGGAGTCAAAGCAGCAAATTCTCAAAGGCGTTGACCTCACTGTCCGCCAAGGCGAGGTATTCAAATTCAATGTGTACAAATTAGCTAGATTTGGTAACTCTACCTAAGTTATTTGCTATCACGGTTCGTTTAGCTGTGCTTGATTATTCGACTGAGGGTTTTAGCTATATTTGAAAATTTACAAAAGTATTGGCTATATTTGATAAATTTACAGAAGTTCTTTTAATTATGTTTGAATTTTGATTGGTAGTTCTATCACTGTGTTCGCTATTTTTGATGGTTCGTTTGGATGTGATTGATAATTCTACCGAGCTGTTAGTTATTTGACAATTCTATTGAGGTTTTTTAAGCATTATTTGATAATTTACCTCAGTTTTTAGCTTTACTTGATAATTCTACTGAGGGCTTTAGATATACTTGATAGCTTACCGCCTTACCGAAGTTATTAAGTATTTATATGTTCTGGATTAGTAGGAATATAGTTTTCTGTATTAGTTGCTAATTTAATTTAGTGATTGATGTTGGTCCTTTTGGAACTTGGAAAGTTGGGAGAAAATTTGTGTATAGCTACTCTGAGAAATTGGTAGTTACTGAATAAATGGTTAAGTGAACAGATTAATAAGATTTTTCTTCTTTTTCTCATTCAATTTGGTACCCTTTTGGTTTTTGGAGAAATTAGTAGTAACCGGATAAATGGTTAAACAAAGGAGATTTAACAATCAATTTTCTTCTTCTTACTCAATTTGGTTTTGCTTATTAATTTTGTTCCCATTTTCGTTATTTTCCAACGGAATGCAGCCTTAGCCAATCCTTTTTGCACAATGATAGACTAAAATTTTCCTAGGTTCTGATTTTGCTTATCATATTGAAATAGGTACATGCTGTAATGGGTAAGAATGGTTCTGGGAAGAGCACTTTTGCCAAGGTGAGTGATTTTCTCTTGTTTTTCCAAGATTTGATGATTATGCTTTTAGACTTTACTGATTCTTTATACTTTTAAATAGAAGAATTGAGTATTTTAATTGATCTTGGTCCTTGGATGATATTATTGGTGCATCATATACCTTTTCCTAGGCTATTCTATATTTCTTCCTCTCCATTATATTTAATAATCAAATATAAAAAATATAAAAAATTCTTTTGAATGATCTCTTCGGTTGGCCTTAGCATTATCTTGTTCGGTTCAATTGGATTACTTATCTTTACTCCATGTCTCGTTGCAAAAGTTCCCGAAGTCATAATTTCTATTAGAAATGAAGTTTTGTTCCTTGATCAAAGCTTTTGGTATTGATTGAATTATGACAGGTTCTTGTCGGGCATCCAGATTATGAAATTACGGGAGGTAGTGTGTCATTTAAAGGTGACAATCTACTTGAGATGGATCCTGAGGAAAGATCTCTTGCTGGTCTTTTTATGAGCTTCCAGTCCCCAGTTGCCATTCCTGGAGTTAGCAATATTGATTTTCTTAACATGGCATACAATGCTCAACGGAGAAAACTTGGACTACCAGAGTTGGGACCAATTGAGGTATCTACTTGCGACCTTCATATTGTATAAATATTAGCACACGCCATAAGTAATTTTACATATTCTTGTTTCCCAAGTAGAAGAGATTGACCGAGTGATCTTTTATTCTTGGATTATTCTCATATGCAGTTTTATGGGTACATTGCACCGAAGCTTGAACTTGTCAACATGAAGATAGACTTCTTGAATAGAAATGTAAATGAAGGATTCAGTGGTGGAGAAAGGAAGCGCAATGAGATTCTACAACTAGCGGTATTCCATGCTCCCTATCTTTCTTTTCCAATCATGACCACGGCATCCATGTTTTTCTTTGTGGTTGTTGTTTAGTGCGTATGTAATATGATCGAGAGTCTATTTAGCTAATTTTTGAGTAACTGTATGATTATGGCTTAGTTCTTTAATATGCTTCTGAAGTTTCTCTTCACTTTTCAGATTAGATTGTTGAAGTTATAAAACTTTGTTATTTGATTTATATTGATGGAAGAGATCGTTTCTGTTCTTAACTATTACATGCATCTGACCAAGGGAGACTCAATAAAATTAGTGGTCTAAAGCCAAATTTTAATTAAGGCCTTCAACTTTTTAAATAGAAGTTGTATAAGACACACACATGCAAAAACGTTGTTTATCGCTTTTTTCTCATACTTTTTATTTATAATGTAGTATTCGTACAAGACATAAAGACTTCAACTTCACATAGTAATATTATTATCTATATTTGTAAGAATTACTTCAAGGTAATAAGATGTTAGCCATATATTTGCAATACATTACATTGGATTTTGTTGTGAAAACCTTTATTTACTAATGTAATATTGAGTAGTTTAAATCAAAGTTTTAAAATATTTTTATGGTTGAAAAGTACGTAGCCTTTTTTCTTTTTTTAATGAAGTTTTAGTACTTTTTCCCCCTACAACTTCAATATTATCTAAGCGAAAATAAAATCATAAAATCCAGTATTAAAATTTTTTTGGGCTTTGGGGGCCTAAAGCAAAGGTTTACTAGCCTTCCTCTTGAGCCACCACTGCAGTTGGCAAAAAGTAAGTGTTAAAGCTTTCTAACATTTCTTGGTTGATACAGGTTCTTGGGGCCGACTTGGCAATATTGGATGAGATTGATTCTGGTTTAGATGTTGATGCACTTCGAGATGTAGCAAAGGCCGTAAATGGACTTCTGTCGCCAAAGAATTCGGTGTTGATGATTACTCATTACTTACGATTATTAGAATTTATCAAGCCAACCTATATTCATATCATGGTAAGCAAGTGGTGTCTGGATTATGTAAAACGTCATAGAAACAGGTTGACCACTAGATTTAGTTTCTGATAAGATGTAAATCAGTAAAAGTAGAAGAGATTTGATACCATCATTACGAAACCACAAACTGTTTTCCTTACCCCTTAAGTGTTTCTAAAGGCAAATAAAACTGTTTAACAGATCTATAATATTTTGTCAAATAGAATTTGATTTTTTTCGTGTGATCTGCATTCTCTAATCTCAGTCATTTAGGTTGCATCAAAACCACACCGAGGACCTTGCAGCATGTATGATAAGTACTAATCTGTTATGTATTATAGCTTAGATGCAAAAGATGTTTTCCAGTAAATTAGTGTTGGTATGGTTCTGATGGTACTCGTGGTAAAATAATATATTTGGATTGTCTAGGGTCTCTATTTCTTGCTTGATCGAGGTTTGCCTTTTGTCAGCTTTATGTTTCGGCCTTGTCACTACTAAATAGTAAATGTGCCCAAGTATATTGAGTCCCTTCAATGATAAGTTGTTATATTATACACGTGTTTTTTACTCTTCCTTTTCATTAGTTTAGTTATCACTAGGTAAATTGTCATTTCCCTTTCCAGGAGAATGGGAGAATTGTGAAAACCGGAGACATATCAATAGCTAAAGTTCTGGAGAAAGAAGGCTACAAAGCAATTTCCGGCGCGTAGGGGCTGCCATGAAGGAAGGCCATTGACAATGATGAATTTTCCAGCTTTTCAGCAACCATAGCAAATTTTGAGACAGATTTGGCAATTAACTTATTTGAGACAGCGACAGCGCGTGATCTTCCACTTTGCTCATCAAATGACTCGGAAGATGTCCATACCCATTTGTCTCGAGATGTAAGAGTAAGTCCCCTGGTGTTGTCAGGAAGGGGAAGTTAGACGGGATTGAGTCTATATACTTCTTGTATTTTGTTTCTACCCCAGTATCTTTGTTGTTCTTTTTGTTTTTCTTTTATGGGGGGGCGATTGATATGTCATAGATTAGTCTATGCATGTTCTTTAAACGGAATAAAAAAATGTTCTTTAAAATGAGCCTGATGTTCTAATTTATGTATTTTTAGAAAAGCATCAATGCTGTGGACTCTTTACCTCTTAATTCAATTAGGGACAATTGCTTTCTTGGCCCTTCAGTTATTAAAAAAGTTCTTATTTGGTTCTATTGATATGCATAGAAGCTCATTTGAGCAATAATCAGAACGCATATATTTTTGTGGTCTCTATTACCACATTCTTAAATTTATTAATTTTTAACGTAAAGCAAACGTACCGGGTTAACCTTTTTCGATACAAAACGAATGTAATAATGATGTAGTTTAATAATTATAGCTCGTTGATTTATTTGTTGATGGAGGAACCAAAAGCACACTATTTTATTACTAAGAGGTACACGTGTTTAGTTGGATAGCAGAACAAAGCAAACAATCTTATATTATTAGAAGGTTAAATGCTTCGTTGGATTTTAGAACAATCAAGATTGAAGGACCAAATTCTTAGCGTTTGACCATAGATTTTTAAATTTGTTTTGAAAAATCTGATTTGGGTGAAGTTTGGTTTGAAAATAAAAATGTGTTGGACATTAGTTTTCAAAATATATTTTACTTTTAAAAAAAAAAAAAAAACATGAAACATGATTTATACCCACAAGTTCTAAAAACTATCACAAATACCCAATAATACCTTTATCAATAACATTCATTATATTATTACAAATCATAGTCCTGAACATAAATAAATTTGGTGCAAAATTATCATTTTTATAATGAACTACATAATAGATTATCAGATAACTGAGAAGACGAAGCAGCATTGTTACAAAATAATAAATGGTGGGCTCTTTTATAAAATACAAAAGTTTGGGGTAATTTTTAAAAAATGTAATAATAATATTTTGGGCCAAAACCAGCTCTTGAACTGGTTTTGGAATTTGGGTTTTGGGTTTTGGGAATTTGTCAAAATATGAATAAAATTTATGAACAAACATGTATTTGCAAAAAAATCCAAAATAAATTTTGCAAAATCTATGGTCAAACGGGTCTAGAAATCCACTCAATTATGAGTAACGTTTTTAAAAAAAGTAGATTTTAGTCCATTCTATCATGTTGATAGTTTATGACTTTATGTGTTAATTCTGAAATGCTTTGTTGTGACATCAGAATTAGCAAAGCTATTAACATTTCTTTCCTTGGCTCATTAACCCGTGTCCCTCCCTAAAGTTCTATAAGATCGGGGGTTATTTGGATGAAGTGGCAATTCGGCCTTATCAAGGAATCCATTTCACTATTACAGCTGTTAAGTTCACAAAAGCTTAGTTAATAAAGGGATAAATCTGATCAAGTATTTGAATGTGCTCTATTCAATGATACAACAACTCTCATACTAAGAACTATCGTGGTCGAGTTGCAAGCCTTCTCTAATCTTGAACCTGAAAGAAGAGGCAGTAGCAGTAATTTATGCTTTCTTGGGCAGGAAATACCAAAGTCTCATAGCCAAAGACATTTAACCTTGTATATACATTGTTGTTACCAATCTAAGCAAGGATACACATCAAAGATTTGAAATAATCGTACAAGCTTAAGATTAAAATGGACAATATTACTGAAGGATGGAATTGTTGCAACTTCTCATTTATCGAGATAGTCAAAAGAGACCCGACGTTGGACACTACTTGATTGGAAAAAGGTCCAAATCAATCCATCTACTTTCGAATATTGTCTATATTTAACCTCCTTTATACTATTCGGTCAAATTTACTCCTACCGTTATACTCTTCGGTCAAATTTATCCATACCATCAGCAAACTTTTAAAAATTACCCCTCAGTCCGTTAGATAACCTAGAATCTCCCAAACCCCATTGTTTAAGTCACTTATTCTTCTTCTTGATGTACTATTTTCAAAAATTACTATTGACGTGAATACTAAGGTTACTAAACTCTACAAATTGTTCATGAATATTTTTAATTACCATTGCATCCACTTCTCTTCTTGTGATAAAGGGTATGAAATTGGTTTAAAATTTTAATAAATTTTTAGCCATATACACACAGCAGAATTCAGTGGATATGTTTGTTGTGTATTATATGCGGCTGCTTATCATGTATATACATGTATATACAAATATATTTTGTAATTGTCTGGTTCGTATAGAGTTTGGTCGACTAAATTAAGAGTGCACAGTGCATAGGCATTTGACTAAAGCAAATTTGAATTCGACAATGCAAAGTCTCCAAGGAACTTCAACTTCTATCACTAATATTTGCAAAGTCTCCGTATGTTTGGTGCAATAAATTCATTAAAACCGGGGTGTTGAAAATACTTTTAGAATTTAGACAAGCTACCAAATTTAGATTCTTTAATTTATTATTTTTTTTAACCGCTCTTTTATTTTAATATTTCTCTCTCTCTCTTTCTTTTAATTTTTTTTTTTCAATTAGGAAAACAGGTAAATACCAACTATTTTACGACTGTTATTAAATATTTTACATACAACAAAGATAATATCAGAGTGTTATTTCTTCTTCGGATAGATTAAGTGCTCTACCACGGGAAAAAGTATATCTTCTTTATTTAGTTAGTGGTAAGGTCCGAGTGAATAAGAAAAATACAGTGTCATGGAACAACTTTTCGGTAGTTGTATTGTTTATAATGTCTCAATTCACCAAGATCAAGTCAATCACATTAGTCTTTACACTACACCAAGCAGTGTAACTTGTAGTGTAGCATGACAAAATATTGAAATTGTATCTTATTATAGTAGATCTAGAAGACTAGAACCATACCTGCAAAGAATAATATTGAAATCAATTAAGTATTACAAAATCACTTATACTCTTAACAAAATGCAAGATCTCATACCTGCAATACTTATGCAAGGCCCAATACCCTTGGTCATAACTTGAGATTGTGCATTTGATACGGTTTACTTTGAGGAACATTTAGGTATAATTTAGTACCCTTATTATTTACATCAACAGTAATTTTTGAAAATAGTAGATTAAGAAGAAGAATAAGTGACTTAAATAAAAGAGAATTGGGAGATTCTCGGTTACCTAACGGATTGAGGGGTAATTTTTAAAAGTTTGCTGATAATAGAGTTAAATTTGACCGGATAATATAATGATAGGGATAAATTTGGCCGAGTAATATAATAAAGATTAAATATAGACAATATTCGAAAATAGAGAGGTAAATTTGACCCTTTTCCCTAGTTGATTCCATATAGAATCTTCAGACGACAATAGAATGTATACCTTTTCTCATAACTAAATCGGGTAATATTAAACTATATGTTAAAAATTAATCCTGTCCAACTTTAATGAACCAATAGTCATATATCTCTCAACTCCTCTTTCATTGGCAGGATTACCGCCAAGAAAATTCAAAAAAGGAAAAAATTTAAAAGGTGGTAGCTAGTGAGAATAGAACTAATGATCTTATAAATGTTTTGAACCCCTTGACCATTAATCTATGCTTTTGGGCTGTGTTAAGGGGATTCAAAAATAATATATAGAGGTAAAAAAATAGATTTTGCCTTACATATACAGTGTAATATTTCGGCGAAGGGGGTTCGGGTGAACACCCTTCCGTCCCCCTAAATCCACCCCTGGCCTTATTCATTGAATATTTGTAAATTATTAACTTATAATTCAGTAACTTAAAGGAATTAGAATCTCGAATCCGTAAAATTAAAATTTTGGCCCGCCCCTGCCCTCTACCTTGCAAATAATATTTTAGAGATGTTATTTAATTGTTTGTTCCCTGACGTGGGAATAATGGTAATTTGGAGGCCATGGGGTTACATCATATGCTCATTGTATTTTGTTCTACTTCAGTATTCTTCTTGGTTTTTTTTTTTTTTTTTTTTTTGGTCGCTCGATTGATATGTCATAGATTAGTCTATGCATCTTCTGATGTGCTAATTCATGTATTTGTGAAGACTGGCAATGCTGTAGAGGTCTTTTGACCTCTTAATTCAATAAGTAACAAATCTTTTTCTGGTCTACCAGTTATTAGAAAATTCAAATTTTGGTTATGTCGATATCTAATAATAAGCTCATTTGACCATCACAGAGAGTGCACCTTTTTTGTCATTATTGTCAAAATTTTTTTGTTGGTAATTAGGGATTTTATATATAAGAAAAAGAAGTATTTATAACCAGTTCTAAAAATCCCTCAAGGTAGGCAGAAATGCGCCACTCTATAATCTACCCTACTACAAAACTTCAAAATCTATAATAGTCATAACTACTACATTCATAACTAGCAGAAACTAAGGATAGTAATTCATTCTTCTCAATTGGCTTGCTATTTTCCTACTACCAACATGTATGTCTTGAACAATCTGTCTCACTGGAGTAGAATCTTTTCTCCTTATATCCTGAAATATCAGTTCGTTCCTTTCTTGCCAGACATAGTATGCATATCCAACCAAACTCATTCTATAGATTTCTGCCTTGGCATTTTTACCATTCATAAATTGTACTGCACATGCTTGCTCATCCACTCACCCCATGGCTTGTCTGTCACGACCCAAAACTCAACCTATCGTGATGGCGCCTATCATGGTACTAGGCAAGCCGACTACTTAAACATTTCCAACACTTTCAAATTTAAGATATGCTAAAATAGGTTTTAGTAAATAAAAGTCTCATAAAACTGATAAGACCATCGCAACTCAATACATAAGTTTCCCAACACTGGGGTATCACTGAGTGCATGAGCATCTATACAAATACAGAGTCTAAATCACTGTCTAAGAAACTGAATAAATAATAACTGAGGGATAGGGGAAGAGAGTCAAGGTCTGCGGACGCCAGAGCAGATACCTCGAAAATCTCTGAAAGACTGAACAACTCTGAGAATCAACAACCACCGTGCCCGGAGACACCTGGATCTGCACATAAAGTGCAGGGTGTAGCCTGAGTACAACCAACTCCAGTAAGTAACAAGTCTAACTATTGGGCTGAAAGCAGTGAGGCTCCACAGGTACAATTCAATTACAAAATTTCGGTACAGAAATGTAGGCATGCTTCCGAGTTTAACAATTAAGGCCCAAACAGGTAAAATATGTCAAGTTCAATTGAAATAAGA